AATCAGCTGTAAAAATCGCTGTCTTGTGAAAATCAGTCCCAAAAAAAAGTCTTGTGAAGCACGGTCTGAAACATTGTCCAGCAAAAATTGCCCATAGGAAACACCGTTTTGCAAAGCACTTTAGTGACCTCAAAACCTCATCGTCTAGTGAATTAACCATTTTGTGAGGTAATCCTCTAGCGGGGCACCACTGTACTATACATAGCATGGTCTCTGGCACCTTCTAGTGGCCAGTTCTGGTAACCTCACCTTTAGAAATATATATTTCTAGGATTTTTCTTTTCATATTTTTAATTTTTTTCAGACTGTGGTGAGCGAATCGGCAGATACTGATTCTGCAGATAAAGGAGTCCTACCATACACAAAACAAAGAAAAATACCATTGTTTAAACAGGGGAGAGCAATCTTTGGCCCTCCAAATGTTGGCAAATTCCAATTTCTATCATGTTTTACCACTGGCCAAGTGGCCAAGCCATGGGAATTGGAGTTCACCACATTTGGAGGGCTATATAAATTCCCCGAACCTGATTTAAATATATGAGATGGAAGACAGAGGATGTATCTGCAATGTGCAGTAATGGCTCTTGAGGGCCATTTTACCTGCCATGGTTTCATCTTACGGTATCCTGGGGCTGGTAGACAATAGTGGGCAATACCTTTATGAGCCCGTTAAATTCTGATGCACAGAGGCTAGCTCCCGACTCTGTGCTCATCTTCATCAGCCTAGGCATTATAGAGTTGGGTTGGTGCAAAAGAGACATCAGAACTCCAAAATCCATGACCAGATGTGTGAGCTAGGTTAGGTGTTTAAAGGGCGTTCCAAAATAGGAGGAACAAGATCTGCTCAGAGGGGGTAGCTTTCAGATTTCATCTCTTACATTTTTTTTTGCTGCAGTTAACTTCTCTACTGTATAAACTAACATTTATCCCAACTGATGTGATATGGACATGGTTGTTTTTCAGTGTATCTCTGACTCCCCAGCCAAAAAAGGAACAAAGTATTTTCACAAAATGCATTTTGAGTGCGGGGCAGTGCAATCCTTAATGACTTTCAGCTCTTTCTCGAACAGCTTCGGGGCAATCTAGGGATGTGGTGGCACTGTGGGTTAAACTTCAGAAGCCTCTGTGCTGCAAGGTCAGAAGACCTGCAGTCGTAAGATCGAATCCACGTGACAAAGTGAACTCCCCTCGCTTGTCCCAGCTCCTGCCAACCTAGCCGTTCGAAAGCATGCAAAAATGCAAGTAGATAAATAGATACCACCACAGTGGGAAGGTAAACGGCGATCCGTGTCTAGTCGCACTGGCCATGTGACCACAGAAGATTATCTTTGGACAAAACGCTAGCTCTATGGGTTGGAAACAGAGATGAGCACCACCCCCTAGAGTAGGACATGATTGGACAAATTGTCAAGGGGAATCTTTACCTTTACCTAAGCTTCATTACCAGAGGTGAAATCTCAGTAGAATCTGTGGCCCCTGAAGTGGAAATAGCTTTGAACAATGAAGCTGTCCCACACATCCGGGCATGGATTTTGGGACTTTTCTGCTTTTTCTTTCTTTTCTTTTTCTTTTTCTTTTTTCTTTTCTTCTTCTTTTTTTTTTTGGGTGCAGCACTGCCAACTGCATAATGCCTCATGTGACAGAGACTAGCCAAAAACAGGTCTCCCTGTGTGATAAATGTTGGTGTCTAATTAAGATGTCAGCTACCCTTGTCTTCAGGACTTTTCCCCTTTTTTGCTGAGGGTCATAGGAGGTGATCCGATGGCAGTATAGCTCACTTTTTGAATCTCTTCTGGCACAGTCCAGTTTGAGCTATTTTCCAGTGTCCAGTCAATGCACAAAACATTGCAAACCAGCCCAATCCTGCTTCATGTCCAATCCAGGCCTTTTGGGTTGACCAGCAGGACTATTGTTTTTCAGGGCTCTGGTGGAGTGACCAGGTCCAGATCGTGGGAGCTCAGAAGGGTCTCTTTTAAGACATTGTGACCTGTGAAGGGACCCTTTCCAGCATGATCCAACACAATCCAGGATCCTCATCCGATTGCCCCCTTAGGCTTCCCTGCAACAGAGCGTGAGGTCACAATCTCCCGAACTATAGCAAAGTCTTAAGTCCCTCCCCGAACTACAAACCCCAGGATTCCATAGAATGGACTCAGGAGAATTCAAAAATAGTATACAACTACTATAATTGTGTAGTGTAGCTATGTTGATTTTTTTAAAAAAATTAAAAAGAGTTAGAGTCATCAGTCTCAGAAACAAGACCACCACCACCCGAATTATGAAAAGCCATCAAGAGCGAGGCTAACCCAAGGATAAACAATGTGAGGTCCTC